GTATAAACATACTTTTCTAGTTGCCCAGGGAGACAGGTTGCTCTAAGATGGAAGCCTTGCTGCAAATGATTTGGGCCAAAGGCCCACTGCCTGGTTATTGAATCAGATGAAAATTTTCTACCTCCAATTTTCTTGTATGTTTCCTTTCTTCTCCCTACAAGGTAGTGTTTTGAGGCCCACTCAAGGACCCCACTACCTATGGAAAAAATACTTAGGAATCTTCTATGGCCCAATTACATAAGCCTAAATAGATGGAAAATGTTCAGAGCATGAGGGAATTTTGTCTTTCCTTTAAAGGATATTGACTTACCCACCTGCTGCATGATGGGTTTCATTCCCTGTGGCAGTATTTACCTAATACTGTAATGCAACAATCCCCGATTTTGATGAAGACAGAAGAGGGAGAGCACGGAAACACTAAAACTAGAACCTTTTTAGAAGAAACCATTAAAAAAAAAAAAAAAAGGGCGCCTGGGTGGCTCAGTTGGTTAAGCGACTGCCTTCGGCTCAGGTCATGATCCTGGAGTCCCGGGATCAAGTCCCGCATCGGGCTCCCTGCTCAGCGGAGGGTGTGCTTCTCCCTCTGACCCTCTTCCTTCTCGTGCTCTCTATCTCTCATTCTCTCTCTCTCAAATAAATAAATAAATCTTTAAAAAAAAAAAAAAAGCTGAGACTCGGTTGAAGGTTCCTGCTTGTAATATTTATCAAGGACTGACCTCAGAAAACAAGATGTGCTGTAGTTATCAGCAATTTGCCTTCTCTCAAGGTCAACAGAAGGGCTAGTCAGCTAACACGGCTGATAGGAAGGTATTGGGTGTGCTGTGATAAAGTATGTATCTGAGCCATGGCAAAAAGCCCATGCTTAGTGCCACATCAGTTAATTCAGGTGTTATACCCAGCGAAAATATATCGCCAGTGACACTGACGTTCCAGCTACACAACTTATAGCCCTGGACACAGACAGTCTCTCACCTGAAGATCATGACATCAGGAGGGAAAGGTTGACATGAGGCAGGATAGCCAACTACTGACAAAGCTGCAGGAACAACATATGCCTTTCTATAATGGTAACGGATCGGCATGGACTTGAGATGAGAAGAATGAGTTCAAATGCTGAAACTTATTAGCTGCGTAACCTTGAACAAGTCATTTAGCCTCTCTGACTCTGTTTCCTCACCTAAAAAATGAAGACATCATCACCAGACCTGTCAGTCAGGCTATGACTGAATAGAGCTTTCGATAAATATCAGCTCCTATCATCACCGCCCTAATGACTGCCATCTCATCAGCAGTGGAAAAGGTATGCGTCCAGTAGGAAACAAGGAAACATACACAAGAGAGGGAAATGTCAAAGATGCACTGTAATCATTAAAATATTCAGGTTTAGAAGGCACAGGAACGTAACTCTCTCTACTTCTCCCACCCAAGAAAGGAGTCTTAAAATAATTCATTGGTGAGGCTTCAATACATTTTGGGGGAAGAAGCGTGTCCTGGGTAGTTGCATAGTAATGGCATCTCTAGCTGTTTTAATCTAAAGTGATTCTGCCCTCCCCACAATAAACTATATTTGTATCTCTATCTATATGTGTAGATCTACTGATTGAGCGATCATCTATCTAGACTGTTTCAAAGTTAAGTTGCAGACACATCACCCTAAATATTTCAGTATGTTGCTCCTACAAGCAAGGATATTGTTTTGTAGAACCACAATGCCACTACCATACTCAAGAAATTAACACTGATTTATTATTGAATATATAGCTCATATTCAAATTTCTCTAACCTTGCCCCAAATATTTAATACGTTTTTTTTTTTTAAATCCAGAATCCAATCAGGACTCCTGCCTTCTTCTCCAGCCTTATTTCCCAATATTTGTTCCTTCCCACACTGATGATTCACTTTAACGATTTTATTCTGTATCATGTTAAAATTTCCCTCCTCAGAAATGACAACATTTCTCTACTATCACCCCTCTTCCAAATCTCTATTAGCATACCTTTAAAGACTTAACTCAAAGGCTAACCATTCCATAAACATGTTCGCATTCCTGCCTGGGGATGTCTATTCTCCTATTTCTGAATTCGCAAAGAACTGTGGCTGAACTTCGACTAAGTCACTTGTTACTGTCAGTCTTGTGCTAGGATTAAACACTGTCCCTCTGTATATATTCTCTATTAGACTACAGGCACCTTTTTAAAGGGAAGATCCATGTCTGCCTATAGCCATATGGATCACTTAGCAGAGTGGTTTGCACATTATAGGCACTCGGTAGATATTTTCCACCTAAAGTAAATTTTCCTTAAATAATCCTGGCCTCAATTCATTTTATTCATTCTATATACTCAGAAGAGAATATTCTTCTTCTATTTTCTGTGTATCCAAAGCTGATCTCCTCCATAAAACCTTTCCTAATTATCCAGCCTAAACTTTTGGAGGTGATGGATATGTTTATTACCGGGATTGTGGTGACAGAAATACAAATGTATACACATGTCCAAACCTACCAAGTTATGGACACTGATTATGTGCATTTGATTCCTGTATATCTCAATAAAGCTGGGGAAAAATTTTAGAAGGAAAAAAACATAGAGTGGAGTCTGGATTCTAATCAATGTAATTTTTTTTTTTTCTAATCAATGTAATTTATTAGCTGTTGATGTTGGGCACATTACTTAACATTTCAGTGCTTCAATTTCTTAATATGGAAATAATAATAGCATTTACAGGGCTTTATATTTTCTCTTAAGGATGAAATGAGTTAATTCCTATAAAGTAAATAAAATAGTGATGCCATATTGTAAGTACTCAATAAACAGCAATTCCACATTCTCCCTCATGGTTCATAATCCTTATTTGGCAATGATTATTTACCAATGGTGACTTATTTTCTATTTTCGTGAGGAACTTAAATTTAAATCAGGTATTATTATTAATGGATTTTTAATAGGCATATCTTATTTTCTTAAATAAAGCATGGGATAACTTTGATCTTTGAGGAAAGTCTATATGCCAACAACTCTGCTAAGTGCTTTCTATAAATATTTTACCCAATACTCAAAACAACAGTATGAGTTAAAGATTATTTCCATACTACAGATAAAGCAAAACAAAAACAAAGATTGAGAGAGCGTAAGCAACTAAGATAGTTCTTGAAGGCAAAGATAATATTTAATTTCTATCTGTTTCCCAGAAGGCTTAACACATATTCATTAACACAATTACTATCTATGTTCAATTTTCTTTATTGCTATGTATTTAGTTGCTATGATATTTGAGGTATTTATTCTTGTTATATTAGTTTGCTTTTTATTTTTAATATACTTTAGTACAGTAACCTTATTTTTTGCTTTTAACATGATCTTTTAAAAAGTTTACCTAAGATTCCAATATAAAACTTTCTCCCACATCAATAACAAGAGCATGATAAAACTTTTAGTATATTTTAATACAACCAGAGACTTTTAAAAAATATTCTCCATGCATTTGTCCTATCAATTTGTGTTTAGCTTTTAGCTTTGTTGTATTTTGTTGGGACTAATGCTATTTCTATGGGAACTTACTAGTGTTGAAAGAAATTCTAGACAACATTTGCTCTACACTTTTGATTTACCAAGGTGGGAAATGGGGCTCAAGCAGACGGGGAACATTTCACTAATTCTTAGCCAGTCAAAGGCACAGAAAGGACCAGAACTAGAATTCTTTTTTCCCCACTGTTGACGTATACCTATATACAAATCAATGCCATGTTTTTCATATCCTATCCCATTCCATCTATGGTGTGGCTTTGGACCAGTGCCTTCAGTTCACCTGTTATTACACATTCCCAAACAGGGAGCAAGGGGAAGACATGAAAATACTAAATATTTGAAGAAGTGAAAGCTCTGTGTAATGTTTCCACCTCTATGTCTTTGCTCCTGCTCCCTCCCCCCCCAAATACAATCTCCTTTCTCTACATGTCCTTAAAGTGATGCTACTCAAACTGGGGTCCATGGATGGGGATCTAAGAAATGTCTATCACCCTGCAATGAGACAGAGTACAAAAACAGAGAGGGAGTATTTAGGAAAGAAGGTAACACTTCAATAGGGTAATTTATTCCTGTTAAATCTCATAATGGTAAAACTTGGCCTTCCATTTTGTATTCTCTTTATTCCATTTTCTTAGTAATTAATTTTAATTGTGCTCTATACAGATTTTGGCCTCCCATCAGATTGGGGAGGAAACAGTTTTTATCACAGAAAATTTGGGAGGCACTGATTTAAAAGGCCCAGGTTCAGGTGCCACCAGTTTCTTTATAAAGCCATTCCTGATGCTCCTGATGAATAGAGCTTTTAAATTTTGTAATATCTCACATAAGCCTCTCTTATGCCTCTTACAGCTTTCTACCAAGATTAGTAATTGTTTATGTGTTTTTTCTTATTCCTTCTGAGTAATTACAACCTCCCTGAGGACAGGTTTTGTATCCGTAACACCTCATAGTTGACATATAGTTCAGAAATTCACATTACCCTCATGGACTGGATGGAATAACCATTCATAATTATTCACAGATTTGGAGGGGAGAATGTTGAAAAAAATACAACAGGAACATCTTTTCCCAAACTCGCATAGGGGAATAATTGAAAGTGCAGAATTTAGACCCTATTCACTTCCACATTTTGTATATAAATATTTCGACCAGTGAGGAACCTGAACACATACAGAAACCCTATTTCTGCCTAAGGAGAAGCTTTTAAGTTGTCAGAAATTTGTTTTAAAATCACATTTGTATCTCAGGAAACTGCACAGTACCCTTGCACTTTTAGTATGAGCTAAACAGATATCACAATGACGGAGGTCTCACAAACCAATTTCCAGAACACTCCGTCGTGTGCAGATGCACACCAACTCCAATGCACCCAGCTTCAAATCCTTTACCAATGGAGCTGATAATACTCTTAATTAATAATTAAGAAAAACAGAAGGCATTTACTTCAGAAACCAGCTCTAGCCCCCACTCACCAAAGTATTCATCAGCAGGTGGATTTTCCATATCATACAGCATCTTCTTGGTCAGGTGTTCGAGCTCATCTTCAGGGCGGAATGAGCTGGGGACAGCTGGAGGCCCCATGGAACCTGTTTGTCCACCCTGAAAGGCAGAAGACACATAGTTCTTTAAGCACAGTCTAGACAATCAAGACAATCACATAGTATTTGCATTGTAGGCCAAAAAGTACTGGACACGGCTATTAAGAGATCTGGGGTTTACAATCAGTTTTATCAGTTCTTCAGGGTCTGACCCGAGACACACCATCTTACAGGATCCACTTGTCTTACCGAGATGAGCCATCTATTGGGCTTTAGAAATCCATGTTTACAACAGTAGGGATTCATTTCGTTCAACAGTTACTAAGCAGTCACTATGTACCAGTTGTATATTTATAAAAACAAGATATGTAGATTCCGCCCCCCCCCACCGACTTAAGGAGTTTATGGTCAAGTGAGAGATTCAGGTCCTTCAATAATTAAAGATAAAGCAACTATAGAAAGTGCACAACCAGGGTACATAAAGGGACCTCTCCTGTAGCCTAAAAGGAAGAATTCCAGAGGAGAGGCAGGTATAGACTAGGACTTACTCAGCTAAAGGGCAGGAAACTTACAGGTGGAAGTTTTTTGCATTCAGGTGAGAAAAAGGCCAAGTGGCATAGGGGCGCCTGCCAGTTGAATATTTCTGCACTGTGTATAAAACTTGAGGTAGGAGATGAGATGGGTCTTATGGGGCACAGGGGTGCAGAAAGTGAATGACCCTGTGTTCCAGTTAAGGAGGTTGAGTAGCTTCTCCCCGTAGGACTACAAACAGCCACGTACCAAATGGGGAAGGTACATCAATAGTATTGATACCGGACGGGTGTTTAAATAGGTGGGTGAGCCAGAATTATAGCAATGTCAGGGAATCAAGTGTCAGGGGAAAGATTACTTGACATGTTCAACCAAGAATCTGAAGTATGTAGAGAAAGAAGGAAGGCCAGACGCCAGATGTAAAATAGCTTTGCACTATGTAAATAAAAGGGAACTTATTATTGTATTTCCCTTTGCCTATATTATAGCTTTGCCCATTTCCAATATCACACCCCAGCATCTTTATTCAAAGTGCTTGTAACAGAGAAAAACTTACAAAAAGTTAATAATGACATCCACAATAGCTGATGGGGAAAGCTGAGATTGTGAGAATGTTCTTCCCTTGATGCTTATGTATTCTTAAGTTGTTGATCAAGAGACTCTCCTTTCAGGAACAGTTTACAAGAATCAGTTCAACAAAACCTGAAGCTGCATATTCATTCACCTGTTATCCTCACTATAGCAAATGTGTTCTTGGATGTGAAAATCCTGTAAAGTATAAATCCCTGTACAAATGTTTTATCCTTACTACCAACATTTATTTCAACCACTCCAAGATGCATATTAATTATTTGTGTGATGTCTGAGGCATAAAATGCCTTCTACATATATGTGAAGTTGTTAATTGGCACCTACTTTGGACTTTTCTCTGTAGTTATTTTCCAATTTTTTAGGATTTTAAAAAATGGATAGAAAGTTGGAATATAGACATACAGAAGGCCAAAAAAGGTCAAGAATTTTTTATGTTGGTTATTAATCTTACCCTGGGATTTTATTTCATTGTTGGGCAGTTTGGATTGGAGAATGGACAGCAGTGAGCAAACTATGACATGCGGCTAGTGTGACAAAGACAAAAAATAGAGCTGCATGCCGAAATCTCTTATTCATTGTGAGATAAGGAAATCTGACACCCAAAAAGATCAGTGCAGAGCTAGTTATGATAAACCCAGCACAGGGGCCCATCCTAGACGCATTTATTCAACAAACATTAAATATTCAATGGAAGGCCTCCTCTAAAGTGCAAATAACATTTGAACATTGGATGAGTGACTTGCTAGTAATATTAAATATTCAATGGCACAGATGTTATCCACTTCTAGGAAAATTTTGCAGAAATAATCATAAAATTATACGACCAAGGCCAGTCACAGGAACTATATGTGGAAAAAGAAGGAACCAAAAGTAACAGTGTAACTATCTGTCCATGGGTAAGAGGTCACTTAAATGGACAATGACAGATGCATACAATGGAATGTGAACAGGTTTTAAGAGAACATTATAAATGTATCTGTATAAGTATGAAAAAAGATGGTGTAGCCATGCTATCAAAGGAACAGATCCAGTGATAGGATGGGAAATCTAAATGACGGCCCCATTTTTGAAAAGTAAGTACAGTTTATTTATCTACTGTTCTCTATATAGGTAGGGAAAAGAGTCTGAAAGGACTTATACTCCTGTGTTAAAGAGGATCATCTCTGGGTTTGGAATCCTGGGGGCCTTTTAATTTCTAAGTTTGTGTTTCTTTTACAGTATGTAATTCGACTTCTGCAATCCATGAAATACAACTTTTCAAATGCAATGAATTCAAGTGATAAAGATAGGCTGGAGACTAGCAAAGCCCTGGAATGGGCTAACCCAGGTCAAGGGCGAGCTCTGAGAGGAGCCAAAGGCTGAAGGTGGGACACAGTTGGGTGTGAGTGGGGAAAAATGCAAGTGGTTCTGTGTTTAAAACTGAAGAGGTGAGAGAAAGGAAGGGCCAGCTCACAACTGCCATGCCATCCTGGGCACTTCAGTCTTTTCTAGGGGCCAGGGGCTCTAGGCCCTGTGTGAGACACAGGCAACTCTGAAAATTGGATGCACTCAACTCCCTTTTGGCAGAGACTGGCATTCATAAAAAGACACACCAACTTTACTTACAATTTCAGGAAGCTCACAGGCTACAGGGAACATATCTAAAGACCCTCAGGTAGGAACGTCCAGGCAACAGAAACCTAAGTGGGGATTTTCAGCAGGGAGGGGAGCTCATCAGATTAGAAAGGTCTCTCTGGAGTGGAGGGAGGATGGGAGAGCTATGAGACTGGAAGGAGGTGGCGAGGTGGGAAGCTTATCCTAAAACATTTGTGGCCAGAGAGTGAAGGGACATACTGTGTGGCAGTGGCACGAGAGTTGGAGACAGAGGTTTAACTCTGGCAATGGCTTGGTGTCCTTAGAGGAGGACCTTGGGAACTCTTGGTCACTTCAGATTTCCTTCTGTAAAATGGGCTTGTCAACACCACCTCACAGTCTCTGTGAGGATTAAAATTAAATTGCGGGGCACCTGGGTGGCTCAGTAGGTTACACGTTTGACTCTCAATTTCAGCTCAGACCATGATCTCAGGGTTTTGAGATCAGGCCCTGAGTTGGGCTCCATGCTCAGCAGGAAGTCTGCTTGAGATTCTCTCTCTCTCCCTCTCCCTCTGCCTCTCCCCGTGTGATGCTCTCGTTCTCTCTCTAAAATAAATAAATAAACAAATATTTTAAAAAAATCAGAGAGCTTGCATCTCATGCTGTAGAGAGCTTAACTGCTTTCTCAAACCATGGTAACAAAGGGACTCTCTTTGGATGCCCAACCCACCTCTGAGGGAGGGGATAATCCCAGTTCACATGACAGAACTGAAGACAAGGATGGAAAAATGACCTACATCTTGTTTTCTAGGCTTGCAATAAGGAGAGAACTTAAGCCCCAAATAGGCTGTCATCTAACTCCAAATGCCATGCGTTTTTCCGACCAAACACTGCTTCCCATGGAGAAGGTGGAGACATGTATGAAATATTACCTGTAGTAGTAATGACATTGGCTGTTTTAATTTAAATCAACAACTATTAAGGAAACTCTGATCATTCCTGGTCCCAGTGTTAGGGCAGACCCTCAGGGAGTGGTCATGGCTTATCATGGTCTGGGCCTCCTGTATCTGCTTCCCTTTTAACATCAAGAAAGGCAGCAAGAAGGCCAGCCCGGTGCGTCCTCTGCCAGCAATTTAGATTCTACCCTTAGCGCTTACGTTACAAGTAGAGGTCCTTCTTTCAAAGTATTTACCCTGTCAGGACTTCACAGATTTTAAGACAAATATATCATTCCTTTTATTCTCCAAATACTTCCTATTTGCTTGCGATACGGTTTCTGAAATAACATATTTGGAAAGGTGTTTTCCTTTTCTTTTATATTCTAATCCCAAATAAATGCTAGCCTTGGATTCCTGGTTTTTCTTATGAGGAAGGACCCCCAAGAGAACATCTCTTCCAGAGTTTGTGAACGTTACTTGGCCATAGAACGCCCCCTGGTCTCTGCCCCCAAACAGTGCACAAAACTGAACATCCATGGAAAACATATTGCTAAAAACACAGGGTCCTCAGTGTCCGCATGTCTCTCACATAAGGAAGACGCAGCCCAGGCCTTTCTTTGAGGTTCAAGTCCCTTAAGTACTTTAGGGCTTTTCTCCCTGGGGTGAAGAGACTCCTCTTCATTTCTCTTTCTCAGGAGTGTTAGGGACTCTACACGTCCTAAGAAAAGGCAGGCAACTGTCCAATGTATCTTTTAAACAAGCAGCTTCCAGTATTGTGTCTGGGTAATAGAACATGATTGAAAATTTGTGGGGTGGGGCCGGGAAGGATTTGTTACTTTTTTTTGTTTTCTATTTCTTCAAACGCAGAGATGTGCACAGGATCAGCACTATAGCTACTGTGGCATCATAATAATTCCTTGCATTTCTGTGATGCTTTGCAGGGTGCCTGTTTTCACATCCCCATAATCCAAATGTTTATGCAACAGCCCCATGTAATAAGTAATCCTCCTTTAGGGTGAGCAAGGTGAGGCCCAGAGAGGGAAAGTGAGCAGCCTTCAGGGCGTCTAGGACCAGCCCTGAAAATCAGTGGAGTCCTGACTGCCACCACTGCGCTGAGTTGGGCATGTCCCAGTGACACGGTGGTGGCTGGCTCTCAGTGCCCGGGGCATCTACATGCCCTTCTACTCCATTCTTCTGTAGTGACTTGGATTTTTTTCGGAGTGGAGGTCTACTGCTAAACAGTGAAACGAAAGTCCTGCAAAGCAAATATAAACAAAGCCTCAAGCCTTTTCTAAGAAAAAGACATTCTTCTAAGTATCAATATTAATCACTAATAGGTATGTTCTTTGAAATGCCTGAAACTCCTAGAAGGGGCAAAACGCACTGTATGGACTCTAGATGGGTTACTGAGAAATGGATTTCAGAAGAC